CAAAGGAGTCCTGGTACACGGTGTCTTTGGGGACTGCAAGGGAGAAAGGCTGGTCCTTATGTGGGCTCTGGATCTAGGCACCCCGTTAACACAAGAGCTGGCTCACCAGAGGATGGTGAATGTGTGAAGGAATGGCAGGATCCTAGGCTAGGGTAGGAAATTCTAGGGTTGTTACTAAGAGATCTATGGGAGAGATCTATCTAGAGGAGGGCTACTTCAGAGTTGGTTTATTGAGGGTTATTACAGGCCCTGGACCAGTCTCTGCTGACCCAGGCTGTTTTCCGGCCTTGGAATGTGGGCCATTGCTCCCAAAAGAACCTTTATGTTTGCTGTGTGTAGGAAAAGTCAGGCCAAACGACCTTTTCTGAAGTTACGGTTTCTCGAGTGATCACAGCTTGAACTACTAATCAACAGACCAGCTCAGAATACTTTGAGATGCCACATCCTGAATGCCTTCAACACCTGTGTCTTCCCTATCAGGTCAAAATATCTCTCCCTGCCTGTGATCCCAGCACTTGGGGAGGCTGAGGCAGAAGGATTGTGAGTTCAAGCCCAGCCTGGGCAACTTAAGGACCTAGACCCTGTCTCAAACAAAAAATAAGAAAGGCTGCAGGTGAGGCTCCTTGAGGTCCTGGATTCAATCCCCAGTAGTGACAAAAGAAAAAAAAAAATCTCTCCTAGCAGCCAGTGCTGAGGTGTCCCTATGGCCAGGTCCCTGGAGAGGTTTGCTGTGGTTTTGCTCTGGGGTGCCTTGGGGGATACAGGAATAATGGGGAGGTGGGTCAGGGGAAGAGGACCAGGGGCAAGAGGCCACCAAGCCTGCAGAAGCCTTGTCCACTCCTGCAGAAGACTCCCCTCACTCTCTCTCTCTCTGAGACAGGGTTTCACTATGGAGTTCAGGCTGGCTTTGAACTCACTTTGTAGCCCAGGCTGGTCTCGAACTCACAACAATCCTCCTGCCTCAGCCTCCCAAGTGCTGGGATTACAGGTGTGCGTCATCACACGTGGTCTAGGAAGCAGCCCAACTTTTGATCACGCTGGGCTGGTGCCTGCCTCTCCTTACTGCCAGAGTCCTCATAGGCTGGGTCGCATCTTAAGCGGCAAGGATCATACCGAATCCTCTGGTGACCACCTGACCATCATTTTTCCCTGCAAACTAGGACATACGATTGGATGTTTATCTAATGCCCAGTGTCCCCAGTCATGTGCAGCTCGTCATGCACAGCTCAGTGGAAGCCTGTGATGGTTGACACATTGTGTCAAGTTGAGGAGTCTAGAAGCTTAACTAAGTAACTCAGGAGTTCTACATCCTGCCCACTCTCAGCTGTCATTCATTGTGTCAATTTGAAAAGTTTAAAAGTTCAACTAGTGATTCAGTAGGGGCCAGGGTCCTTACTTTGTAAATATCATCAGTTTGTGGAAGAGAAGGGCACCCAGATGGTGAGTGTTGCCCCTGTTCCATGCCACCCTGCCTTGGAGCCAGCTGATTATGGACTGAAACCTCCACAACCTGTGAGCTGAATAAACCTTTCCTTCCTTAATTTTGGGTGTAGGGTGTTTTGTCTCAGCAACGAGAGAAAAGTAATCAAGACACTGCCTAACCCATCATCTCCCACTCCATCTTCTTCCTGTGTCACCAGTGATGCTTAAAGTGGCTGACCAGTGAGTCCAGCTGCTGCCTCCCGTGCGTCCCTGGCTTTCTGTCCCAGTTGAGCAGCTGTAGTCTCTGCTTTCAGTGACAGGGCTTCTGTCATGTGCTCCAGTTGTCTGGGCTGCAGCCAGTTCCAGGAGTGAGCACAGGTGACCAGTACCTCCCATCAGATCATGTGGCCACAGGTGGCACTGGGAGCCCCACCCAGCCACCATCAGCCACATAAGCTAATGCCTTCTCACAATTCTGGACAAAGGGAGTGCGAATTGGAGTTTTATGTCATGTTTTGGAAGGAGGAGATACGTGAGATGGTTTCTGATTGTGGTCCTCCAGTGAATTAAATCCCACATTTTCCAAACGACCAACATAGGGACACGCCCCCAAGGGCTGGGACACATTTGAGTCTAAGGTGGCCAGACCTTGGAGGCTGCCTTTATAAAGGGGAGAAATGGGAGGGAGGCAACATGGTCGGCTCTTTCTTAGTCTGCTTTCTGTGGCTGTAAGACATTAACCGAGAGTGGGTGCTTTGGAAAGTAGAGGCTATTGTGCTCGCAGTTCTGGGAGCTGGAAGCCCAGCAGCGCAGCACCAGTACCTGCTCGACTTCTGCCGAAGACCTGGTGCTGATCCGCTCGTAGCAGGAAACGGAAGGGCAAGGGGCTGCCTGGGCGGCAGTGAGAGGGCTGAACCCCCACACTAGCCAACCTGGTCCCAACAACCAGCATCAACCCATCTGTGAGTCCCACCGCTGAGCTCCTTCTGGTCACTGCATGGTCAGTCTGTGTCCACACTCCTCCTTTCCATAAGGGCTCCAGGCACATTGGAGGGGAGCCCACTGCAGATGACATCCTTCTTGTCCCCAGCTGCAAAGTGCCCGTCTCCTTCCCACCTGGCAGAAGGGGACAGAGTGCTACCGTATCAGCATGCGTGTCTGCACCTGCAGGGGCAATGACGGACCCTGGTTCCTCCCAGGGTTTAACAAGGTGTTGCAGTGAGGAGCTCCAGGCTCCTGCCGGATTCTGCATGTCCACTCTGGGACTCAAGGCCAGTGGCCTCATCAAACGAGGGCCCCAAACCGTGCAGTACCACGCAGCCCGAATACCTGATCAGGACGGCAGGTGTGGTGGTACCCAGGAGGATCCTCCTTGCCAACCGCTCCTCCCGTCTAGCCAACCCGGTCCTTCAAGCCGCCGATGCCAGCCCTGCCAAAGAGCTTGTGTTTGTTTGCATAGGGGAAGGGTCAAGAGCCAAGACAAGGGCCAGAGGGTGACCCATATGTGTGAGTTTTGTCTCCAGATAACTTTATCATATGTCTTTCTTCTTCATGGGGTTTGATCATCTTGGGGTATTAACCAGCTTTGCTTTTATAAAATCACGAGGGTATAAACGCACTACACCATTTAACCGAGAGTGTACACGTGGTGCTTGAAAAGGAAGATCTTGAAGATACATGAACCTTCAAGGAAGGCTGGGGATCATGGGATCGGGGAGAAAGCCCAGCCAGGAGGGGGTGACTCCAGGGGGAGGGGCCACTGGGCACCTAGGGCCTGAGCTCCTCCGGACATGGGATGGGACTGGTCCCCCCATTAGGTAGAGACCATGGGCATTGTCCTCCTCCCCCATCGGTTGGTAGGTGATCACTTCAGAGCATTGCAAAAATATCGACTTCCATGTGGTTCACCCTAACTGCAGAGAAAATGGAAACCCCTCAAATTCTACTCTTTGAGCCCGTGTGACAACACATGGGCAGTGGCTCTAGAGCACCGGAATACTAGGGGCCTCTAAAATAGAGCAATGTCTGTACCCGGGCAATTAAGCCCGAGTTTCGGAAGCCGGGTCTCCTGTGGGCTGGGGCCCCTGGTGCAGCTGCCAGATCTCCCAGCGGGTGAGGGTTCGGTGTCGTTCTCACTCTGCTCTGGACCCTCCAGAGGGGACCAATGCCCCAGTCCTTCTGGGACAGAGGCTACTACCCCAGAGGCCACCTGGGCACCAGGTCCCCACAGCGTACAGCGACTGAACACCCGCATCCTGCCACCTGTCCTGCTGGAGGGGGTCTCGTGGTCCTCGCAGAATGCCTGGCCCTTAGGCCACACAGCAGGGCTGTCCCGGGCTCTACTCCTCCCGCTCCACCGCGCCCCGGCAGCCTGGTGTCTTCTCCCCGGACACGGCGGTGACGGGACCCCGTCCTGGCTCAGTTCTGCACCCGGACTAACCCCTCCGCACCCTCCCCGGGGAACAGCCCGGGCCGAGGCCGGCAGGAGCCCCGGAGGAGCCGCCGCCGTCCAAGCCTCCTCCCCGCCCTCTGGCTCCTCGAGGTCCCTCGCTGCCTCTTCCGCCGGCTCTGGGTCCCCGGCCGAGCGCGCACTCCTCTCCTGTGACCTGGTTTTATTTGAGGGGAGGAGGCACAGTAATCAGGACCCTCCCTTCCTCCACAGGGAATTTTTTCTAAGGTTCCCCGAAGACTCAAGGGGGCGGGCTCCACCGCGCACAGGTGGAGGAGCGGAGCGGCTCAGCCGGCCCGGGGTGTCCAAGGTCACGGGGCCCCTCGGGCGGGCGGGGGCGCGGGGCGCAACGCTGCGCGTCCGGG